GGAAATCTACTCAAAATTTACTCATTTTTTGGTCGACTGTAGTATTTATTAAAGTATGTTGAGTGTATCTGAAGAAGCTTGGAGCGGAGCGATGCACTGGTTGGAACTTAAATTTTATAAGTAACTTACTGAACTAAATTAAGTTTGGTGTAAATGTTTAATTTATAGGTAAAATAAGATAAGACGGATTGATGAGCATGAATCCACCGTATAATCCAGAGCAGGATCAGCAAAGATGCTGCACCTCACGGTGGTAAACAACTTGCAGGAAAAGCCAAGCCTTGTGTACTTGCCCCATCCCCCTGCCACACTCACTTTGCGATGACGAACCGAATTGGAAGCAGGTTCGTAACTTGAATTCAAAGGCGCGACAGAATCTACTCCATCTGTTCTGCGTTTGGCCACTGTGATATTTGATTTCAATATGTAGAACTGATTTTAGAAATGCAATATCAGAGAGGTCAAGATGCTTTTGATCGATGAGACCCTGTGAACACTGAGTCAAAGAGAAAGTTCACATCACAGGGTGACCGACATCTGATTTGCAGCGTCAGTATGATTTCTTCAGGCTCCTGTTATGCAGTACGAATAAATGAATAAACTAAAGTAGTGGAAAACTTTTAGTTGAAGATCAACTTTTCGAAGGCATTGATGTTATCTGTTGTCAAGATTACGGTGGGGGGGGAGGCAGAACACAGCAAAGAAACGATCGTACATTAAGATGGAATATTAGACGTGGGCAGAAGGGAGCCTTTTCTGTTGGGGTATGCGACTATACTAATAAGTTCCTTATATGTCGTACTCACCGACATGTCGTCCCGCAGCAGTGGTACACTGTAAACGCTTTAAACTTTCACTGCAATACTCGGTAAGTTTTTCTTGCTTTACCTTACCTAGATCGCCGGCCTCTAAAAAACTTAAGTGCTCTTTTGCCAAGTTGACGGATTCCGAAGCGCGTCTCGTGAAAAATACTTTCAGTCGATGAATTTTCTCTAGTGCGTAGCTTGCTGAGCGAGATTACGCGCCCTATTTGCCACGGTTAATGAGCGATTACAGAAGGCTGCCTTTCCAACAGCACGGTAAGCGTCGTTGTCGACCATTGGTCGCTGTCTGTCGACCGTGTGGACTGTGGACCCGACTAATGCCGGTCAGTCGGTCACTCTGTTTAAGTGACCATCTCGGCTGTCCGCTTTGTGCGTTCGGTCAACCATAACGCGGCAAACAAGAGGCGTTCAGGTACGACAAATGCACGAACTGCTTTTTTTCAACCGGCTGAACAACGAAAAGCTGTCGTTGCGTTTCTAGTCATATTTCCATGTCACTTGTCGGCGGTGTCCGCTCTGTAGCTCCGGCCATCAGAGGGTGATCAGTTGCTAGTTGACGTACCCTTGGCGATTAGGGCGACGGTGCTTGTTCAGCTCTTCCGGAACGCTGGCCAAATTGCGGATCTCATTGCCTTAATTGCGTCCTATTATGCGACCAATGCTACTTGATGAACAGTCGATCGACTCATGGCTGATCTGTCATAACGAGGTCGACTCTGCTTGCTCAAAGTGATCGTTTGATGGCGACCAGCGTCCCTGTTTCCGCGACGAGGTGGCTGAGGTGGCTTTCGCGTCAAACGGTCTTCTGAGGCAAATGAACGCAGCGTGTCTTAAAGACATCATCTGGCGACGGCTGTCTGTCAGTTGCGCATTCACCGTTATTGCTTTGACAGTGGACACACGTGGCTAACGTCGAGCCATTAGTCAACGCTACTACAGCTCATTGACCAACTGCAGCCTTTGCTTGACGTTTACGGCGGACACAACAGGTGACCGCCGCATGGGCAGTACGAAAGAAAAGTACCCAAGCTACAGCTCGTGAACGAGATTTATTTAACGAGTTGGGCACAGAACGAGGAAGCTCGGCTTATATCTGAAAGAACAACAGATCCTTAAAATTGACTTTCATTGACTCCATTGCAGGCCTGTTCTCATGTGCGTCGGCATCTGCACTTCTTCATGACTGATCCACATGAAGGCGGCATTGGCGACTGACAGTCAACATGTTCATGCTGAACCGGTTATTTTAGAGAGGCCGCTTGATCCTCCTATTTCACACACAACGAACCTATGGCAATAACAAAAGGTCAACCTGTAAATTCAGACATATACAAAAAGTTATGTAAATGAAATTTCCATATGAATGCTTGCGCTTAATTGCCAAAACATGAATATGTCTAGCAAGTTCAGGCGTCCTATTATTGGAAAAATGCTTGGTTTTTATTGACGCTTCAAACTTTTAGATCTACATGCCTGTAAAAACCAATATGTCTAAATAGATTCCATATAATTCAGTGGCTACTGAAAACTCGTGATCGAAAATTCTGGAATATGACCAGTCTTTTTGACGGTTCGGTTTCTTCACAGCTCGGTCAGTTCACAGCGATCCATTTGTACCTGCGATTAATTGCTTGTTGCCAGTTGTTTCGATTATTTTGCTTATGTATGTGTGTATGCATGTACAAAAGGTTCTTCAGCTTTAGGAATAAACAAGGATATGAAATAGAGAGGTAGAAGCGAAGTCAAAGAGAATGGGGAGAGTTTGTGGTACAGAACAGTAAAAGAGTAAAAGAATAGTTGAATACAGTAGAACAGCAGAAGAAGCTATGAAATTAGTGGTTAATGCTCATTTGGTTTGTAAT